TCGGTCAATGTGTAAAATATATAATTGAAATTCATACAATAAAATAAATAAATGAAGCTCTCGATAATAGTATGTTTTTGTGTCAAAAATTGGTTGAATCGGATCAATACTGCCTTTAATATAAAATCTTGCCAACACCTGATGTAATTTCCGGGGCTTTGATCCTTGCAAGTTTCGAGAGTATAAAATGTTTGGTTACACCCGAATTTAGAACTTCCTTACTTGTTTTTCATTATTACTATTTTGTATAACAAATCTCGAGAAAAATGTATTTTTGAAGTATTCATCAAGCCACGCAAGCTATATAAATTATTTACAAATTTTTAATAAAATTTTAATATTCATACACTTTTTTCTCGCTGAACATCGTTAATTTGACGTCATTTGAACGTTTATTCGAAGCTTCAAGCCATTCCTTGAGTCGATTCCATTCATTTCACGGAAAGGTGCACCAAAAATCAGGTAAAATTATTAGAAAAATAAAAAACCGTTAAATTCGGTTGCACCGATGCTATAATAGCCTTCACAATTAAGAAGTTTTTTATACGAGGACTTGATTGCGATCGTTAAGTTTGTATGGCTGCAGGTATTCGATGTACTAGATATTAGCCACCTCAATGAATTTGTGGCTGGCTCTAGGGACTTTGTCGAGATGCGACGGTTTTTTCGATCCAAACCTAGGAGTTCTGGGCATCACAACGAACAGGTGTCTTAGCTGGTCAAGTGAGTTTTTTCGTGTGCTCACAATGCTTGCCTAACAAAAAATCATTTGTTTCGATAACCCTGTGACAGCTGTCAAACTACAACTCTGCGCCAATGAAATCAAGGAATAATTATATAAAACTTATAGAGCCTGCAATCTTAGTATTATTATCACTGAATTTTACTGCTAAAAACTATTTTTTTTTAATATCTTTGAGTTATTCCGCAAAATTTGTAATTTAATACAACTTTCTTATGCATTCACTTACGCCCACTGCATCTGCATGGCACGGTTGCCAAAAGTTTGATGTCACCGAAAACATGAACATTTCTTAAAAAATATAGAAACGAAATCTACGCGCAAAACTTGTCTACCTGTTTTCATAGCAGCATGTTCGCCTGTCCGCCGCTTCCCGGACGTGGCGTCTATGCGCGCTAAAAGTTGAAAAGTAGTAAAGTAGTGGCAAGCGGAAAACAGTAACGGCAATATTTTACGCCACCGGTTTCTTATAGGTTTCTCTTTTTTTTTAATTTTGCCGCAGCATAAAAACTTTTCAATTATGCTGTTTGCGTGAGAGTTTACTTAACTCGTCTTCAATTTATTTAATTTTTTCAATCGTTTTTGTTACTTGACATTTTCATAATTCCTTTTTGTGTCGCTTCTTTGTAAAAAAGGTAAAAAACAAATTTAAAAAAAATCACCAGGGTTAAGAATACGCATTATGTTGTCCCACTTTTTGGTGAAAATATATGCACATACACTTGCTTTCTGACGAACGAAAGTCAAAAGCTCAGCTAGAATTTTAACTGAGCGACAAGGTGAAGCTTTCCCATATATTTTCGCACTTGTCTGAAATCCGCATAATCAAAATTTTAAGGTTTTTTATATACACAGTTTAAACATTCTATGATCGGCTATCAATGCTTTACAGTCCCTTGCGCTATTACAGCAGAATTTGATTTTATTGACTCAGAACAAAATGACTGCCATTTTTGTAAAAATAATTTTCTTTTTTAGAATTCTCGATAAGCTCCCACAAGCTTCTGTAAAGCACCCCTCAAGCATTCTTCGATAGCTACATATGTTCGAAGCTCATTTTCGCACCGATGACAAAAACATACTGACACTTAAAACACAATAACTTCACTTCTAATAAATGAAATTTCATGAAATCAAGGATAGCAGATTCTAACGCACTAGTCGATATATAGATGGCGGCACTAGAGTTTACTTTGTTACTTTTGTACTGTTTTCTTTGGAACGTACCTTGTATCTCTATTTCGCTTATAATGCCTTTCTTTTACGGTTCCGCGTTTGAATAAATAAAGTCTGTTCGTATAGTTGGGCTCAATAATGACACGAATATAAAAGTTATTTAGAGAGAAATTCGGCAGTCGAGGTGCCGTGAATTATGTTTGCAGAAGAAATTATTAGAAACTTCCTTCAGACTTTGGAAAGCGCAACTTGCGGCTTTTTTTTCATATTTTCAGCCCAAGGTAAACTTTAAAATTGTATGACAAATGTTTTCCAAAAGCCGTCAAACTTCAAAGGCAATGGAAAGCTTTCAAGTTCATTCATTGGAGCCGTGCAAGATCGTTCTTTTTCAATGGATCGTTTCGAAAAAGCTCTTTCTCACTTGCTCACTTGTACAGAATTCGAAGGAGACTCCTTGTCTTAGAACAAACAAACACTGAAAAAATACTTTTTCGGGTTGCTGGTGGATAGGCGAAGATATTTCTCAAATTTATAGGACCAGCGATTAAAAAATTCTGACATACAGTCAAGAAAGGAAAACCATATATTATCTGCACATAAATCGACTTAAAATACTTTATCGAATATTACTTTTTGAAATATTATTGGTATTTAAAGACATATAAAAAAAATGAAATTATTAAATTACAAAAAAAAAAAATGAAAAACAAAGTTTATTTATATTAAAGCTCGAGTTCATATTTTTCAATTTAAATTTCGGATTACTTCTGCATATTTTGTGCGCGACAAAATTAATACTGTTTGCATAAACTCTTGACATATGCTGCCGTTATTATGTCAGCCACGCAAAAACATAACCTATATACTTTACGGCTCCGAAGCGCTTAACTTTTTGTTTTCAAAAGTTTTTTGTGCGATTACTTTTTGTCCCGTAGTTTTGTGGAAAAATTGTGATATTGATGGTATGATTCAATATGTGGTAGAATGCGAGACTACATACAATAATACTATTGGTGTGTAGGTATGAGAGATACTTATCGTAAATATAATGCATTAGAGATGAGCAGATGAGATGAGTGAGCTTGTAAAATACATTTCTTTTCTTTACCCATTATGAAGTATAAGTGGTTGGAAAAAACTAAGACCTTCGTTACTTCCAGCTACTGCAATATATTAGGTATAAATTAGAGATTTGTATTCAAGTTTCCCAGTAGAACTGAAAATACATACATACACATATTTTTTATGATTGGCGAATAAGTGGATCTCGTGAACTAGGTTAGGTTAAGTTAAATGGTTGATCTTAATAGGGATCTCACTTGGACAGCTTATAACGCCTAGTTCTCCCTATAGTACTCCCATAAACTTGATCTTAAAGACCCTCATAAATCGAAAAAGCGCTTTGAGCTAATCACAAATTTGTTGAGGCCGCTAATGATTTTCGGCGATGTCTTCTGGTTCGCCGAAGGCATAACTCTTCAGAAATTTCAACCTCAGTCATGTAAAAGCTCGACATCTACTTGAAAGAAGCTGTACTTTGGGGCAGTAAGACTGCTGCTAAGGCTAAGCTTGACGGAGTACTCCTTACATAAGACTCCCCCTCCAACATTCCTTCCTAGCTTCGATCCATATGTGAGGAAGTTCTCGTACCCTTTCTCCAGCGACATTTCTTCGCCCACATATCGCTCGTCGGCATGTGCGCAGAGAAACAGCCACTAAAAATAGCCTCTGTGACGCAGTGGTACAAGTTTTTAAGGATACAATTGAAGGATTTTCTCTGAGTCTTAAAGTGGCCTTCGCAGCAATGCACCTGTCGGCAATATCCACGGGTGCTATGTTGAATGGCATTAAGTGCCATTGTTGTTGTAGTCCGCAGAGACAACCGATGCATTCCTTACTCTTTCCTAAATATTTGGCCTCCATGAAAGCTTTCTATCAACGATAAGCCTTAGGTATTTCACCTTATCAACAAGTTGAAGAGCGGAGTAGAATATCTGGAATTTTATTTCTTCTGGCAAATAAAACCTTTTCAGTTTTATTTTGGTGGACGACTAAGCCGTTTCTATTCGCCTAATTGGATACCACGTTGAGGTACCCTTCGGTTAGCTCATAGACGGTATTTAGAAATTTTTCTTTTACCATAAAAGCAACGCAGTCAGCCATTCTCATCTAATAGCTATATAGAAGACATAATCAAGCAAACATGTCGGCGGGCTTCTATAAGTTTTCAAACAGTGTTTCTTAATGCTTTGGCTAAAATGATAAGTCTTTCATATTTCGCTCTTCTCTAAAAAGCTAAGGTGTACTCCTGATAATTTTTATCAATACAATATTCAGCTTAAAATCTTGTTTCCCCTAGAGAAGAAAGATCCGGCTTGATAATATTTTATGAAATGCTGCTCTCACACTGAAACCTTTTGTCTAAGTCTGTCGACGCTCTTCTCTAATGCAGGCGTTTTTGTGCACTCATTCATAAGTGAGTACTCGTAGGGAAATGCTAAATTAGTGAATACCGGAATTGCATAGTAGCTATTATTTGCAATGAAAATCACATTTGCAAATCCTTTAAAATACGATTACGTTTTTTGCTTTATTTTTCAATACTCCATCGCGCATATATCAAAAAAGTGTTGAGAGCAAAGATTAAAATACGACAAAGCACTTGAGCGGGGAGCAGGTGGAGAGTGAACAGCTAGTGGAAAATATGAGTATAAAGCAAAAAGCGAGTATTATAGCCACCACTCATGCTGTGACGCTCTCGCATACACGCTTGTGAAAAAACAGTAGTTCCATATCGAGCATACCCATATAGATACGTACTAGGTACACGTGCACCTGTCAATATTTGATTAAGGCACAGATTGTGTTTGCGTTAAATCTGAATTATGCATAACTTTGCTTTGGTTTCTCTCCTCTCTTTCATAGCTGCAGTCGATTCTTGCCATTGCAATTTTTCTTAATTCATCGTCATTCAGTTTGCTTTTGCGTTTTCTACTCATTCCGAATTTTCATTTAAGTGATTTTTTTTTGTTTTTAAAGTTTTTTGTTTTTATAGTTTATTTTCAATACTTATTTTTATTAGTTTCGTTTTAGACACAGTCATAAATTCGCTACCGAAATTTATGCATATTTTTTGATATTACTAAACTGCAGCCAGCTGCCACGAAGCTTTTCATAATGCAATGCTGTGACTCACGTGTGGCGGTTGTAAAATACTGTGAGTAGCTTTAAATATTTGGTTGTAAAATTATTACTTTTTTTAAACTTTCAAGCTTGCTTATTAAAGAGTTGAATTATGGCCATAATTGAAAGGTAATTTTGATGTAAATAAAGCAACCGATATCGACCAGGTCAACCTGGCTAATTTGTAATAAATCAATAAGAGAGAGTGTATTCACATACGAAACGATGTATATAGAGATCTAAGTCACTATCATGAGACACTGAATCTTGTTATAAAGATAGTTTTCCCAGTTAAGCACAGTCATGGCTCAGCAGAAAAACAGCTCTTAGATAAGACAAGGCCCACTGAGCTCAAAATAATATCATTGTGTACCAAATTTAGCATGAATAGCAGTGTCTTGGGAACTACGTCAATGTTGGCAGCTATAAATTTGGAAAATAGGAGGATTTTGTATGAACCAGCATAAATACCACCAACAATCTAAGCCCGCAGATCAAGCACAAAATAGCTCTTGCCAACAGGTGCTGCTTTAGGATTGGTAGGAAATTGAGAAACAGATACATCTCTCGACGAACAAAAATTACGCTCTATTAGTGTCTGTTCATTACCGTTCTGGTATATGGCGTAGAAACATGTACGATGACAAACTGTCATGAGACAACGCTTGGAAAATTTGAGAGAACTGTTCTCCGCAAGGTCTTTGGACACAATACGCGTGGGCGATGAGTACCAACGAAAATAGAACCATGAACTACATGAGCTCTACCGCAACATGGATATAGTTAAGCGCATAAAAATTCAACGAATGCGCTCGTAATGCTCCAGTGAAAAGTTTATTCGATTCGATGGATGGACAACGGAAAAAAGGGCGCTCACGCATCCAATGGAAGGACCAAGTGAATAGAAACCCATCTCCACTAGGGATGAACAACTGGCGAGATCTCGCAAAGGATAGAGGTAACTGGCCAAGTTTAGTATTCCGGTGGTAGCACGATGGTAGTGTCAAAGAAAAAGCAAAAGAGCTTTACATACAGATCATCTCAACCAGTTTGGAGTTCGAACTTAATTGTAATTCCTAAAAAGAGTACTTGAGTTTTCCTGTAGTATTACAAAATGTCGTCCTATGCATTCAATAAAGTTCGCGGTTGTTCGGGTCAAAAGATGTTCTTCAACACTAATACAAAGTTGGCTTCATATTCTCGTATACTGACTGAAGCCATTTAACCTTTAACTTAATACATAACCTTTTTTCTTTTAAGACGAAATGCTAAACTCTTAATTATAATATTTTTAGATGGGTACTTTGTAGATGTTTTCGCTGGACTTCAACTCAGTTAAGATCCTTGTATCGGTTTGTACTATACTACGCTCGATCTAAGCCCTTCATTCTCCTCTCTCGTTACCTTCACTGACTATCTACTTCAAATCCTTACTATCCATGTATCAATCATTTGTGTCACCCCGAATAAATATCGTCCGGTATTACATGATTTTACTCGTCTTAATGGCCTATGCCAATAATTGGCAACTTTCACTGCCACACAGCTGTGGCCAAGTCATAAGTGATGGGCCTTTGTACCAGGCAACACATGTATCTTTGTATGTTTTGACATACGAAAATTGCTTTACACTTGTTTAAGCTGGCACTGTCAGTAATAGTAGCCCACATATGTAGAGCCCAATTGACTAAACGCTCGTAAATACCAGACCGATGAGCGCACAATACTTGCACATGGCAAACTGCTAAGGCACTTCACTTAACTGGCTTAAAACCCTTTCGAAATGCCCGAAACCCGGCGGCGCATTAAAGTGTCTAACATAGTGAGTGGGTGAAAATTATCTCATTATTACTTGCCTGCCTGTGTGGCAGCGCCCGTGGCTGCTTGTGTGTGCGTGATTGGCACCAATGCGGCGCTGCACTGAATCTCAACACTTTCGCAATGCTAAGCCGCCGGATCAGCATATTAGATGAATAAACTAAGCAATGGGCGTAAAGCCAGCTACGACACGCACATATATAGCTATTAGTAACAGTGTATATTTGTGTAACTAGGTGTGTGTTTGGTTTGCATAATGAAAACCGAGGCAGTTGCCAGCAGGTAGCACATCTGCCTGCAAGCTGGCAGTCAAATAACTTGGCGATCAACAGATTTTGCTCGAAGTCTCTAGGGATTTGGTAAACTGAGCAATGTGTTGGGTATACATATATGAGCATAAGTATATAGTGTAAGTGTGGCTTGAAGTGAGCTACTAGCAGGCTTTGGGCAAAGAAGTGGGCCGGTTTTAGACACGTGTTGCAAGCAAACCCATAATTATGGTGTTATACCCGGAGAGGGAAAAACGTTCCATAAACAGAAAGAGATAAAAATATTGATAGTGAGTGAGAGAGTTCGAGGGAACTAGTGGGATATATAGATAGATCGAGAGAGAGATAAAGAGAGAAATAGCGATGGAGTCCAACCATCATAGCTTTTACGGTGCGTCTTATATCAATCAGTATATCATCACTCCTTATTTCCCGGAAATATTCGTAACTTTCCTCAGAAATTTTATTTAATGTAACTGAGCTAGACATCAGTTTTCTCAGGATTGTTTCTGATGAAAGTTAATACCATATATCACGACTAGTTCTTGAATTTACGGGCTAAGCTTCAACGCGATTTTCTTGATTAAGCGGAGATATCAACCTACGAGCTGCCGAGTTGTAGTCGCACGCTAGACATACTCTCTCGAAAGTGTTTAGATTTTCATTTATTAGATAGCGCGTCAATATATATGTACATACGAATACGATAATGCTCCAAAGAGCTTTCCACACATCGTTACGCCTCCGTTGAATGCAAGCAGACAACGAAATTGAATAGAATTCGCTGTAGCAAAGGTGAGCATTAATGCAACTAATATAATCAATAGAGTTGCATTTCGGAAGCATTGAGCTATTTTCTACGATTTGGGCGAAGGGGCAAAACTGCAAGCCTCAGTCTGCTGATGGCAGCGAAGAAATTGGTAGATTAAGATGTTGCCACAAAAGAAACGATGTGGGTATTTGCTTCGGAGAATAGTATAAATTGCGGATTTTGTGGTAAAGAGGGTAAGCTGATAGGCTCCATATGTGGGGTGACAAACGTACATTTTAAACAGTTAAAAATGAAAAAGGGAAGAAGAATATATGAAGCTCAGACTTTTGGTCCAATAAATCAAATCCATTATGTGTTTGGAAAAAGAAGCGACGCTGAAGCCGTTTGACAGCGAACGATTTTGCATTTTCATTTTATTTCTTTTATTTTATTAAACGCAATCTAAAGATCAAATCCGGGTTTACCCTTATTACGGATTTGGTATTTTTAGTTTAAACGGTAATCAAGAAAGAAAAAGTACTTCAGAATGTGCTTGGTTTGAAACAATTTTTTTGTTAGAGCTTTTTCGGACTCTAAAACTATGGAGAACATCAAAGTAAGAAACAGTTTCAACCTAAATATCAATAATTAAAGTTATAATAGAGATTGCAACAGAACAGCATCCGCCTGTTTTCAAAAGACCATACAAGAGATCATGCAAGGTTCATGAATTTTTATGGTTTACCACATGATATTCGCTTCTTTTCATAATCGATTTTAAATATAATTCAGCACAATGCATTTAAGATCAATAACCATTTGATATAGAATAGATTTATCCCGGAGAATGTAGCCTACAGAAGCTCAGATCCGCCTTGATTTACTAATCTGAAAAATAAAGTGATCTTCCCTCAACAAAATAAACGGAAACTACTTTTGGGTAAACAGGAGACCTCATTTGAAGAAATATTCGATGGTTGCAGCTAAGGCTCGAAAGAAAAACTTAAATGCTTAATATGATTTTCAAAACACTTTTAGAGATTTCGTAAGTATAAACTAATTTTGAAAAGTTTCATAAAATTCATTTGGGATTTCACTAAAATAAAGAGGTATTCGACAATATAAAAAGGTGTAAGTAAATTTCGAATTTTTGCATAACTCGAGTTTAAATCAACTTTTAACTGGGGAAATTTGCATTTTTTCGCACAACATACTTGCGACTAATCATATTTTCTCTACACACACGGTGAAAAGCCTGTTAAGCCAGCACTCGTATGAATTTTTGCGTTGCCAACAGCAGTTGCCAACTTATAAAAGTTACCAACCGAATTTCCAAGGGATTTGCAAGTTTCTCTGAATTTTTGTTTGTTTGCATCCTCTAGCAATGTTGAGCTGAGAGTTGGAAGAAGAAAATAAATTCACGCTACTTAGTTTACTACCATAAGGCAAAGGAGAAGAAAAAATTACGACTTGTAGGCAGGATTTATACGCTCGAGCCACTGATGAATAGCATCCAACTCGATAAGTACTCTTATGTAGGCTCTTGGCCTCTTGAGAAAAATAAAGCGCTGATGTGATGTGTAAGAAATTGCTTTTTTCGCACAAATTTGGATTGATTTTGGCTGTAGAAATATGCGAGGACAAAATTTTGGTACTGAATGATTGCCTGAGTTCTCGGCTTGTGTGTGCTTGATTGAGGTTTCAGATTAGCGCTGCTGATTGAATGTTTTTGCTGTAACTTATGTAGGGTTTTACCATAGTTTGCGAAGTCGATGCGTCCTCTTAATTAGTAAGTGCGAGTGCAGTATGTTGTAATTCTCAACTGGCTAATTAATTGTATTGTATGTTAGTAAGGTGAGTTTAAACGAGATTAGTCGGATGTAGTGATGAAAAAAAGAATAAATTAATCGGTTAATAATAGCATATAATTTTTTGATTATTAATTGCAATATTTTTTTTTTGAATTTAAAGATTAATCGATTAATTAATCGTTGTTTTTCAGCTTATGGTAAAAGTTAATATAAACACAAAAAGCTTTCAATTTTCTAAATTATAAAAGTCGCGGATAGATAAAAATATATTTTAAAATTATTCGTTTATATTTTTTAAAATTTTTTCATTTAAAAATCAGTTCAAAAACAAAAGTTTTGAGTGTCGCTTTGTAGTCAATCTATTTCTTTTTACTTTTTTATAATACTGTTTTTTCATTCTCGATTACCGTAATTTCTCGTCTTATATGACTCATTACTGCAGACAAAGCTATCGGATCTTGAAAGTGTATTTTTTGTATCTTGGATCCAGCAAAGGTGGTACCGCCAATAAAATAAAAACAATGCTCTATATCTCCAAATCGACGGTCGAAATGTGTCTCTCCACTTATCTGAGTCATCATTGCTTGCAAGGGTCTCAACAAATTTATAATTTCTATTATTTCATCTGTGTTTATATTTGTAAGAATCGGTGTTGCATCAGACAAGCTCATTAGAATTAGGCTGATATATTGAATCCGCTTGAGGAAGCGATCGAGCATATAATACATAGAATTCCATCTGGTTTTCCCATCTAAAATAGGCTTTACCATTTTACCTTCAGGTATTCCATTATTTTAGATTAACAAGATACTTTAAAACCGTAGAAGATTCAAACTATTGGTTGCTGCTAGGACATCAGAATGTGCGATTCTTGTTGGATTTGAAAAAATGTCATCGTACGAAATTATCTCAAAAATATGTCTGTTTCTAAATAAGTCTTCCATTTAAGCTGTAAAGTTTTGAAAACATAAGTTGCATTATAAAATTACATACTTAAGAAGTCCTCATTACTTTCTAACAGGTATTTAATTACTTCACTTTGTGCCTATAATGACTACAGTTGACTTGATTCTCGTAAGCACTGAAGTTGGAAGAATTTTTGTACACTTTACAAACACTTTTCACCACAAAGCGTCAACAAGCTAACTAAATTCTTAGTGAAAAGGTTAGTCACCACCTTAACCTCAACATTTTCTTGGCGAAAACTTCGAAAGTAGAGTTTAGATTTCAACGTTCACCAAACTGTAGCCATTATCGTCACAAAGTGCATAGCCACTAATAGTGGTGAGAACTTACTTACGTATCTTCAAGCTTATGTAATAATATTTAGCAACTTAAGTGCTTTTTATACTCATGAAAAGTTCTCGCACAAGTCATTTCTCTGCTCCCCTTTCACCTTACTTACTTCATTTCGAGGCTTCACAAGTAGTTGTTGACTCTTTTCACGGTATTTTGACGGCTTGTTAATAAAATATGTTAACTTTTGTGGAGAGTTGTCAAAGTTGTCATTTCATAAAAAGCGCACGACATAAACAAACATCTTTAAGGTATTTAACGGGATTTAAGCTCTTAAAACAACGTTAGCAGTCAAAAAACTAGTTAACACTTAAAGCCAATATCGAAGTAAATAAATACCGATTCAAATAATGCATACCAGTTATGCGACTATACTTGTATGCAGCGGTTTCCTTTCTGATTCTTTGAATGCACCTCTTTTGAAGTCAATAAAGTGATTAAACTAAAAGTAAAGCCCAATATTTCCCCAAATACTTGCATTTGTCTGTTATTGTGGTTCTTATAAAGTTTGAAGGTATGCTATGTAATTTTGAACACGTCCCTTTCGATTCATTTATAATAATTTTGGATTTCCTTGTTCCAGTAGTCGATCTGTTTGATGACCTCCGAAAAAAGGTGTCTGGCGGTGAGCAAGATTTTTCTGTTTAAAATTACATGAAATTCAAGAAAATTTATTATTAGTATAAAATAATAATATCCAAGTGGATATAACACCATAAGAATAGATAGAAGACAGAATAAAGTAATTGTGAGAGCATTTTTTAACTTAGAAATATAAAAATGGTTTAGCTGTAAAAAATATGTATTCCTCTAAAATATAGCAACATGTAATGTATTTTCTATAGCGCAGTTTTACTAATGAAAACTACTTCAAAATTCCAGCTATATAAAATAAACATTCGTTTAGAGTTCCTGTTTCTGTGTTTTACTGTTCTTAACGAGTAAAGAGACTTTGAGGAGCAATTTAATGCCAGTTTGAAAAGTCTAATAAAACCACCCTGTTCTACAGTGTGGCACTTATTCAAGCTCTGACAACTTTTTTCTGTGTTGCCACCATTTTGAATATCTTCAGTCGTTATAGCTAGTTATATAGTTTTTCGCTATAGAAATGCATTCCATATACTTTCGGAGCTCGCGGAGCGGGATTGCGTTGTGAGGATGGTGTTCGACATTTCGAATAAAAAAGTGTTAGGTTATAAAAAATGTTATTTTTAAGAATCGAAGCTGGACTTATTTTGGAATTTGCTAATTTGATTCAAAGTCCTTAGAGCTAGTCTGTGGTACATGGTCGATGAACTCGACTGCCAATGTAAGCTCTTGCTGACAACTCTTATAAAAGAAAGTTCCAGTTCAGATGCTCGATTCCTTTTGTTCCAATCATAGTTTAAAGAAATATCATATCAAATATTTTATTCTGGGTCTTTGACTGTTTTTCTTTTTAATATTTCTAACATTTGCATATGAAATTGTTGAAACCAAATCCAATATGAATATGTAAATACAGTTATGTAAGTACATAAATAAATCAGCGAAACTAGACATTGTAAAGCGTATAACTGTAAAAAATACAGCAACAAACATGTGTTACATATAAATTACATATAAAATACAACAATACGACACCATCTGATAACTAGAAATAAATCTCGAAATCCGTTAAGAATTCTACGCCACCCACACAACTTAAGATTTTCATTTTATTTCGCTTCATCTTTGTAACCAAATTTGTTATATTGTATTTTCCGAATTATTTTCGCACGCCATCTACAACAACACACACACACACGAAACAGTCTTGTAAAGAACATCGGTTCCAACGAGACTTACCACTAGCCAAATACAGTTCAAGGAGTGGGAGTTGCAGCCTGGAAGCAAGCAGCAGATTGCAGACAACGGATTTGGCCAGAATAGAGACAAGAGATAAACTTTAAGACCTATGACCGCATGTTGCATATATCATTCAGCGCGGAAAAATGTAAAAAAGCAAATGAAAAGGTTACAAGCAGCAAACTTACATAGCTGACAGATATTGTGGCTGCTACGGCATGTCAGAAAGTCAATGGTACAAAAAACTTGTTCGAATTTCCATATATGCATATAAACGAGTTGTGGCGTGTTGAGAGCTCAGTTGGCTACGTGGTGTAGATCAAACTGTGAATGGTGTAACAAAGGCATAACAGAACATAGTATGGCATAACAAAGCATAGGAGGCATATCTTCTTCTTCTTTGGCACTACAATCATGGGTCGGTCTGGGCCGAGGACTTAAAACTTGCCTCTATCCTTGAAAGAGCTTTTAACTATAGCATCGTCTTCAATGCCAACGACATAGCCTAACGAGGGCTTTCGCTGGATTTTTCAGGTGGTGGTTTCATCGTTAACGCGAAGGGCTCCAATTATTTACAATGGGCTTAAGTCTTCCACACAATACTGTCGAAAGAACTTTATAGGCAATGTTAAAAAAGGCATATCCCACGATAATCAGCACAGTCTGCCGTATCTCGCTTCTTGAGGATAGATCCTACACTCCTTGGCTGTCTGTTGTAATTGCAGGTTTTCGATGTCCAGCTTTCGATGGGCTGTCTGACATATGCCCTTCGGCAACATTGTAACGCATATTATAACATCACATAGCATGAGATAACAAAGCAAAGCAGAAAATAACGTAACATAGCATATCATAGTATAAGATAACATAGCATAGTTTAGCATAACACTGAGCATAACTGAGAACAGCAACAAAGTAAAAATTTGGCAATGAACAAAGTATGTCACACCCACACTCGCATATACAAACTTACATACATATATATCCCCAAATCTCCGCCATAATTTCAGGACAATATGGCAACACCCCGCCTCTTTGCGCTTACTTTGTATGGGTGTATGCTGCTAACCGCGCGTCTGCTCGCGCCCACGTCATGGCCGAAAGCGCATCCGGCGCGGTGAACTCCATGCGCTTTCGGAATTGCTGAAGCTGTGCGCGTATGTGTGGGTGTGTTTATGTCGGTTGGCCATATTTTACATTGCACCGGGCATCTGCTATTTTATTGCCTTACTTGCTTATGTTTTGCTATTGTTGCTGTGTGGTTCTTGGGTTAACTGTGGCCATTGTTAAGCAGTTGGGAGTAACCAGCGCGTTGGCGCCGCCTCGAAACTGCGTGTGGTAGCGATTCGCATATGTTTTTGGGTGATTTATCTCCAGCGAAGCAAAGAATCCATGCAACAAATTAGCTGCGTTGAGAAAAAAATCTGAACCAGCTGTTTTATGGTTGTCTTGTATATAATTTAAAATAATTCTGTTAAAAATTCGTTGTTTGGAATCAAAATCTTTAAATCTTAAAATTTGATATCTGTTTCAACAAATTAGGAAATATTGAATGATTAAAATAAACTCCAAACTTTAATAAATACCACGATTTTAATTCATGGATTTATTTGTACTTCGGCGGCCACTGGAACCTCTTAAAACCTTACATTAGTAGAATAGAAATACGAGTTACTGCAAGAATTAGAGTAGGAACTCAGCAGAATGTCTAGAAAGATTAATTAATATTGCAAATATTTCTATTAGTTTCATCTCAGCAAACCTTTCATAAACAAACATTAAGGATTTCTAGGTTTTGTAAGTAACGAAGAGTAGGGAAGAATTTATCTGTTACTCATCTTACCAAAGAGGGTTTGATCACCGAAAGATTTTCTTGTGAAACCAAAGCAATTTTGTTCTGGATATTAAAACTAGACTAAACTCCTACTCATCTAGAATTGACTCCGATACATTCCGCCTCTTAGCTTGCTCTATGAAACCAACTCAACTAATACCCTTCTCCTGGCGAAAAAGCATTTTCTGGAGCTGTCGGTTCTTAATTTCGATGGCAATTAGTTGGCATTTCTTTCCACAGAGTGTTACAACAATATAATATATCTCAGACTTTAAGTTAAAATACTCTGCTATCTCTCTGATACAATTATTTCGATTTTATCATCATTAAAAGAGGATGGACGACTGGCATGAGACAAGTTTTGAACACTTGGACAAATATTTAGGAAAGTTGGAAAGAATTATACTGAATAAGTTAGAATTTTAGATTTGTACCAAATCGCAACTTGTCGTAAGATGCTGGTGCATAAGAGTTTAGTTCGTGTGGAAACTTTTTTTAATGGCGCTAGTTCTCTTTATTCCAGCTCTGACCCTAAGTACATCCTCAGAACTTAGGAACGCTAAGAAGCTGTATATTTGAAACTTTTAAAGAGATGGGTAATTTGCATCGAACTTTTAACATGACATCAATCTGTGCAGAAACCTTCCCACATTGTCAGTGTCTCGAATATGTTTTTGAGTACACTACATACATATAGTTTCATGATATTTTTAGTAAAACCTGTATGAGATAACTTTCAGACTTCATTGTCGCATATTACGAAATTGGAATTGGAATTGAAAGAGTAAAGTTTCTTAGTGCTATATGTCAAGCTTAGTTGTATGTTCTTTCACCCGGTTATGTGGGAGAACCTTCTCTGGTTAGTTTCTGAACTCTTTTTTTAAAGGGGAATGCTAGCTAAATGGAACTTAACTATCTTTCGTCCAATGAATTGCTGGAATGGCAAGTCAGTTAGCTTAAGTTTAGGCGGGACAGGGTACTGAATATGTTATTATATACAACCTTAGATCTGTATTGTTTGCTTATACCTTCTCGAAAAATCATTAATACAGACTGTGGCACTGACTGTTTGTTTAAAGAAACGAGTTTTATTTACGCAACCTGAAAATTAAGATCTTTTTTTTTTGCTTAAGGATTTATGTGACTATCACAGTTGATGCTTATCGTGTTTTAACGAAGCACAGTCTACATCCATTGGTTAAAAGAAAAGATATACGTAGTTTTAACTTTGCTTTCATCTTGATATTTCTTATTAAATTCCGGAATTATATTAACATATTTAAATATAAATTTTAAATTTACGATTCTTGAGTTGTGAATCTTTTGCCAATTCCAAGCTATATTACTTTTTACATGTTCGGCCGAAGGCCTTTTGTTAGCTCTAGTGCCGCTAACACTATTACTTGCGACCCTTCATTTGATCATTTGCTACTCCTATAGCTGTGCTAGAGCGATCGCCGAAGTCTTCATTTGCTACTCCTATAGCTGTGCTAGAGCGATCGCATAAGCCTTCATTTGCTACTGATATACCTGTGCTAGAGCGATCGTCTTCATTTGCTACTGATATAGCTGTGCTAGAGCGATGGCCGGATTCTTCATTTGCTACTCCTATAGCTGTGCTAGAGCGATCGCATAAGTCTTCATTTGCTACTGATATACCTGTGCTAGAGCGATCGCCGTATTCATCAGATGCTGCACCATCAAGTGGACGAGCAGAGCCGCCTGACAGTTCATTCGCGATTACAAGTGCTATAATGTATAAAAAGTTAAGGTTAACGTTCGAAAATATAAGTAAATATTTGTCCTCGCTTTATGAGGAGGGCTCAAAATAAAAATTTAACGGAACATGTATAATACTAAAAGAAGTAGAAAATATTTCCCTCCTTACCGACGACCATGAAAATTAAAGTACTTTTCGGCAACATCCTTGAAAGAGTTTAATAGAGACTACTTGGAAACGACTAAAGACAACTTTGGTTTCACTGAGGGTATACACAAAACCAGACCTGCTTATATAGCACCAACTTTGAAATAATAATATCTATTAAAACAGCACTGGAAGAAAATAATTTCAACTCAGCTATTGTTGAAAGCGCAGATCGTGCATTTTCAAGTTAATTGGCTTAAGATGAGAAAAATGTAATCAAGGGCCGCTGAAATTCATGAATAAATTATAAATATTAAATAATGGCTTGGAAAAGTTAGTAACAGAATTTTTTTTAAATGCGTTGCTGAACATTTATGGGCACACGAAATACTAGTTCATCTTTTATCGAGTGCATTGTGGTTGTTCCATAAGATAGAATAATCTTCTTTATGTAAAGTTAAAGAGACTCATGGATTTGTACATTAGGAGCAGAATACCCAGAGGTAAACTGTGAAGGTTCCAGAATGCCTACAGTAAAGGGAAGTCTGTCGACACTGTTTTGCACGCTGTACTGTCATGGCGGAAGTGAGCACTTATGCACAAAGAGTTTGCGTTAGGCACCTTTCTCGACATCGAAGGCCTCAACAATATGCACGCGGAGGCGGTAATTAAAGCTCTCGGAGGAAAGGCCCTTGATAGGAAACTTTCATAGAGGCCAAATATTGAGGAGAGAGTAAAGAAGAAATTGATTGCCTTGTACTGCTGTAGATAGAGGTGGGAAATCTCACTAAAAGTGGTGTTTTGGCTTTACGAAATCGTAGTGAAGCAAACAATGTTCTATGGTGTATTCATTTGGTGGAGGGCGCCCGAAAAGGCTATACTTACTAAGAAGCTTGAACGTGTCGAAAGGGCGACGCTCATCAGCATCCGCGTTGCACTGTGGACTGCACCAACAATAGCACTTAATTCTATATATTTGCGACAGGTGCATAGTTCCGAAGGCCGCTCAAAGGCTCAGAGAAGCTGGGTATATGAAGCGGTCCAAACAGGATCATGCTGAAATTCTCTTTCTCTTTAATTGTATATATGAAAACTTGGACCACTGCGTAACAGAAGCCACTCCTAGTGGTTGTTTCTCTGCTCATATAGCGACGAGGGATATGTGGACGAAGAGATGTCGCTGGAGAAAAGGTACAGTCAGACTTTTCACAGATGGGTCGTAGCTAGGTTGGAGAGCGAGTCTGCCGATGAGCTAGCCAGGGGGCAATCCGTATCCCGCTCACATCGAAGTGGAAATAAGTTGAATCTCCATTGTTATCTGGCGTTCTAGTACTGACCTCGCACGCGCTTAGCATGCGCTTAGCAGGTGCTCATCGACGAGTAGGATGCAGGATTTCTACTGAGTTACTTGCCCTTAGCAAAGTTCTTCTTGCCGCAATCGTAAGAATTCTTAATGGAAATTATCCATTTGGCATTCATGCGTTAAGGTTAAAAATTTGCTGAACGCAAGTTGTCAAAGTTGTATGGAGGAGCCTAAAGTGGAAACATCCAGGCACTTTCTTCTATAATTTGGCGGAAACCCGTTTTCACCTCGTTTGCCGACAACTTTAATTGAATTAAATATAAAATTGCAGTATATATAATGCATTTCTATATGTCTATTAATTAAGAAAATCGGTACAAGTTCATGCCCAAAGGATGCATTTAATTGCTAAGTACCGTTAACACAAGTTGCCACATGCAAGTTGAGTTGGTCAAGAGCGTGAAGAAAAAAATGAAATAATACAAATCACAACGAAATGAAATGAGAGAAGAAACATTTTAAGAGCGTGCCTGCGGTGTTTATGCGAATTTGCGGCGTTGAATGCTCGTGCCACTTAAGCAACGCGGTAACTTCAATTCGCAACCGCGAAACCGCGCCCGCGCGCCAGTCATAGCGCGTAACCCAGAGCAACCGTAACCGCTACGCATTCAATTGCCTTCGGCATTTGCATTTTATTTGCCTATCTGCCGCAACGGATTGGCACAGTCGCGGCTAGAAGTATACAACTATGGATATTTATATATAAATGTGGAAGTATTGGGTAACGTAGTGTTTACATATTTAGCTAAATAAATAAGTCCACAAATAAAACAAAACGTAGAGTGCCAAATGCCACAGGCCGTGCAACAAATCTACATACTTTACTGTATATGTAGTGGCAATCCACCGGCAGCGTTGTAGCAAATAACACTTAGCCCAGCTATGCCTAGCAAAGTTCTGTCCAACAACAGCCAAGCTCCAAGTCCAAGAGCTTCTCGTAATGCCATCATTATCTACGACTGGTGGAAAGTTCAAAATGCCTGCGGATATGCTGCTAAATGGTCGCCTGGTTGCTACTTATGGCGCCATTTTTGTTGTTATTGTAACAAATTTAATTAGTCTCTGTTAGTCGGAACTGGTATGCCCACCAGAAATCCAATGTGGCTGGATTATACATAAATAAGCGCTAGCGTGACTAAGCGGTGGCAGGTGTAATAATGTAGCTCTCGCAGAAATGAAGCTTCTCTGTAGGAAAAATGTGGTATAAATAGTTGTAAGCAGTTGAGAATTACAGAAAAGTTTTCGTTTCACAACTGTTTCGTAATAAAAATAGGTTGTAAATGGTAATTAAACTGGAGATGAGTCGTGTTTTATGTGGAATAACTATGTGTAAATCGTCAATATACCTCGTCAAATGAAAGAGTTTTCCATACAAACACTTGATTCCGATCATTCAGTTTGTATGACAGCTGTATGCTATAGTGGTCCGAGATTGGCCGTTCCACCAAATGAGCAGCTTACTCTATATATTTTCATAGTTTCCACTGTTTCCTATAGGGATAGGGTGACACCTACCTTGAGTGCTATTTTACGAAGGTTTGTAAAAATGTATTATCATTTAAATATCTTCTTTATTCACTGCTAACCCAAACATTTTCTATTGGACATAATACATTTGTTTTAGATCTTTTCTAGACACGACTGCCTAGAAACCTCTTTTGGTTTAATTGAACGGCGATCAAATACTCTCTGTATCATATGTATGTATGTATGTATTGCTCATTATATAACGTAAAGATAAAAAATATGGCTCTAAAATTCTCTCTTAATCTATACTCCAATTAGGTATTTATACAACCGCTTTATTGAGGCTTTATGTGAACTGATTCTAATTAAATCAGGAAAATATTAATGTTTGTATAGCATTATCTTGTTTAAACAGCGATTTTTTAGTTAAAGGTTTTTGACAGACTTCCCTTTCTTTGAATATGTGGAATTGAGTTGAGAGATATATCATAGAAAGTGGAGAAAGCATGTCGAGTTTGAAAACTTTATAACTTATCCTTGTATTACGCAAATACCCAACAACGCTAAATAAGCTAAATTTCGTACTCGTAAAATATGGAAATGGCTATTAGCTATGTTATAAGGCAATTAAAGTGGTTTAATGTTTCACAAATCATTTCTAAATTAGGCGATGCGTTGGTAGACTCGTACGTATACTAAGGAGCGGGAAAAATGTTTAGCATAATGTATACCATATACTCGTATAATTACAATTGTCTGGCATTTAATGAGGATGCCATGCAAATGCTAGAACGATACACATTTTTGTAAATTTCTGAAAAAGAAAATTAATGTAAAAATTTAAAATGCCATCTATACTTAAAAATTGCTTCGATAAAATAGTTGATCGTAAAAAATTCAGCTATTTCGTCTCTTGGAGCTACTCCGCAGAGTCCAAAAATATAAATGGCTCCTCCAAAACAATACACATACATTCAAGTCTCATAAAGTTGTATAGTCAACTAAGCATCTTGTCTGAGAAAAACGATTGGTTGTAGCGATATTATTTTGATCTAACGGTGGTGAAAAAGCCCGACCTGATCTACAATGGATCATATTTTTTGTTTTCTTTATGTTGAAGGAAGAAGTTAGTAAAGTGAATTGGATAGTGAGAGAACCAGCATAATTATTGAAAGTAATTACATCTTTAAAATTGAATTATCTCATTTCAGACAAGTATGATTTTGAGCAGAAGTAAACTTCTATCTCGATTTAATGGGTATATTGTAATGATTGATTGAATATATCTATGACGTATGATATTTTGGTAAAATCTTATGAGCTTGTGAGTGTTGAAGAGAAATAGGCTGAAAGAGTTTTATTTAGCTTAATTAGGAAACAATTTGCTATAACGGTTATATATATTATATTTAGTATTAGAATGGATATGACTCTCCATCTCTGATCGTTGTAGCATCAATCATTCCACAAACAATTTTGAGTAAATAAATATAATAATTCGAGACCCGATGGTTCATTCCCACGACATTTCAATAATTACGGTGATGATAGAGAAAGATTGTGGCTTTCTATGCATTGAAAAAAAAAACAAATTACGAACAATTTAATTTAATTTGATATTTCGACTTGGTTTCAATTAGCGAAACGAACAAGCTAAGGCGGCCTAGTCCCTCAGTTTTTGAGATATCGATCTGAAATTTTACACACGTGCGTTTCGTTTTAAGGAGCTGCTCATTTCTCATCACCGATATCAAACAACTAGAGTATATAGCTGCCATACAAACAAAACGATAAAACTCCAGTCGCTGTAGGAAAAACTTTTTTATATGACCAGATATTTTCATAAAATTTGGCATCATTGCTTAAACTAACTGGATATTATACCGATCCAAACAAAATGTTTAGATCGGACTTCTATAGAATGTAGCTGCCATACAAACTGATCAGTGGGAATTCAATTCTTGTAGGCAATTTTTGTATTTATGAAGGGCTTATAGCTTCGACGCAACCGAAGTTAAAATTGTTGAACATTTTTTATCAACTGAGAATGTGAAGGTAGTTGTTGCAATCAAATTTAGTTTTTGTACATATCATGTGTAGATGTCATCAAGTCAAAGTCAGTTTTTAAAGAATTTGTGAGAAAAGGGATTTAAATAAGTTTGTGGTTATTTTTTAAAGTTTAGTATCAATGAAGAAAGAACTACTGTCTATTACAGATTATGTTCCGTGAACTTATTATGATATTTTGGAACAGAAAGATCTCTTTCTCTTACTTTCTTTAATTATTTGTGAGCGACTTTGTAGATTGGAAGCATTTTTGTTCCAGCAAAATATTTTTT